CAAAATCATCTAAAATGTAGAAGAAAAGCCAGGAGTCACCTCTAACCTGGAACGCTGCAGCATGGCCGGCTTTAGAGTGAATTCTGCTCTCTACGTGCAAAAGATGAGCAAACTTGAACACGCTGTGGCAGTTATTTAACAAATCTGCCTCACCGCTGGCTGAACAGATCATTTTGTTGCGTGAGCACGAGCTTAGGAAACGTTAAGTCCCACTTTGAAAGTTAAATGCTTTTGTTCTGCAGCGACGGCGCTGCAGCAGCGTAGCCTGTGGGGAGTCGCGGTGCGGAAACACAGCGCTCTGCGTTTGACAGAGACAATTGATCAAAACAGACTAATTAATGTATGTGTTTTACATATATTCATTTCCGTATCAAATATTAATGGAAATAAATGTATTTGTTTTTCAAATGAGTGCAAGGCTATCAAATATTTCAGACACACCTCATTAAAGATACAAAGCCAGGAGCGAACATGCATTTTTAAAGGGACCATATTTCACTGGAGGCTGACGGCTCAGTGGAGCGGCCTGGATGGGCTCTGCAGGAACACGATGCTGCCAGAGATCAAGGCCTTCCTGTGGAGGAATCGGAGCCTTTTGGCCTACATCTCGTCGCTCATTTAAAGTAAATATGGAAGTTGAGTTTGGGCTCTGATCTGAAGACGTTGGCTTGGTGTTTTAATGAGATGAACTTCAGACCCATCTTCAGTGACCTCTTGAGACCGATTCACTCAGCAGGATAATCACGGCGTCTTTAGACCAGCTCCTCCCCATCCAACAAGCTCAAGGCAGTGTCCCATCACCGTAACGGCTCTAAAGATAATCTTATTGGATAATCCTACCTTTTGTGGTGTGTTAAGAGTGCTCTGGTCTGCACGGAACGTCAGGAATGTCTGTTTGAAAATTGCCATCTCTCAAACCTCTGGCAAACATGAAGGGCAGTTGAAAGCAGAAGTGGGAAGTCATTTACCTGGAAAAGCCTTTCTTCTGCTTAAAATTTATCATGTTATTTATTTCTAGAATTTATTATTTTACTTTTTAAATTAACATCATTTGTCCACGACTGTATGTGTTTTTGTCGGAAATATGACATGGTTAGAAAAATTACGAGTTTCTGACAAAGGTCGATATCCTCGCTCTTTGCAATATTTTAGAAAACACGGTCTGCACCATCACTTCTACGCTGATGATGTCTGATTGACCTCGCCTTAGATCACACTGGCTCCATTATTCTGCTTCTCAACTGTCTGTGAAATTAAGGCCTGGCTTCCTTCCAATCTTCTGCGGTTTAATAAATAATAAGACTGAGACATTTTCTTTAGTCTAAATGAATAACCTGCGTGCATCTGCTACTCTTCTTCTGAACCTCCTGTGTGACCAGCTTCGGGGTCAGTGACTCTGACACTCTGAGGTCCTTTGCCAACTGCAACATTGGACCCCACCCTTAAGAGACCACATGGAGAATCTTCATGCATTTATCACCTCAAGACTTGACTATGCAAAGTCAGTCCTTATTAGTATAAATGCATCCTCTGTTAACCGCTGACAGAAAGTCCAAAATGCAGCTGCACGATTCCTTACAAATACAGACGATGCCGTTCCAATCCCACCTTGGCTGATCCACACTGGCTCCTTGTGTCCTACTGAGTGCAGATCATCACTTGCTCTGGACTCCTAAAATGAAATGCACATCCGGTGATGAGTGGGCATTCACCTTTGCCACTCCTAAGCTGGATGTGCACCTGGCTTTGACATTTGTACATTTCAAATAAAAGCTGAAGTCACGTCTCTTCAAATCGGTTTTCAGCCGTGCTACTGGGTGTGTCCTTGGCTTTGTTTATTTTAATCATCTGTTGCTTTTGCCTTACCCCTGCTGCAACTGTTTGGCTCACCTGTGCTATGTACGTCATGCTGCCTTGCTCTATGCTCGGGTTTTAGGCGTTTTGTTCTGACTCATTATTGGGGGGGGGGGGTTTTAACCTTGTAGTATTCTTGCTAGTTCTGCTGCCCCTTCTTTGTCTTTGGTCAGCTGACCCTGTGGTTAAATGTGCTTTACAAGTAAATATGGTATAGCACTCAGACGTAGGTCCCTGATGGTGTGGCAGGTGTTCTGCAGCACAACCACCACCAGCCTGAGGCAGAGCCACAATCCCAGGAGCTCAGCGCACCGCCACGTGTCAGCATCATGATCTTGACTCACGAATGCACACTGACTCATATCCATTATAGCTTATGATGGAGATTGTGACTCACAAAGAAAGATATTAATCTTCATGAGTTGTAAGAAAAAGAGCTCAACTCTCCTGCTTCGTTGATTATCAACAATCCGTTCTGGCAACACCTAAAAATAGAGCCGTTCTATGGCTTTGACGCGTCACAGGGGAAGGTTTTTGGAGTCTGGATGAAGTCACTCCTCCCAGAAGTCTCACACACCCAGTTCCAACTCTGCTAGGCTACAACTCACTTGTTACTTTACAACAGAACTTGTTAAACAACAACTGAAACAATGAAAAACAAGTTGAATGCAAATCTGGTGTGACTTGGCAAGTGGTGTTTATTTTATTCAAAGCAGGCTCTGATCTGATTACTCATGTGAGCCCATTTGTGGCTCCGCTGCAGCGAGGACTTCCTGGCAGAGCCGGATCTGTCACAGTTCGCTCCTCGTTTCAGTCTCCCTTTAATGAACTTTTATTATCGGATTAGAAAAACTTCACTGCTTCTGTGATGATTGAACAGGAAGTTTCCTACAGCTGTGGCACGAACCGACCAGCAGGGGGTGCACCTGGGGCTGGTTCCTGTGCTGCAGGAGTCGTGATCTACAGTTGAGGGGTGTGAGTCATTTCTCAGTACCACAGAGTCCTGTGCTTTCCACGTGGTGCTGAGTCACGGGTACATGAAGGGCAGCTTGACGTGATGAGCAACTACTATCTGAGATATGTGCTGCTGGGAGGACAAGAACTACTAAAATGTTGGTGTAGTGAACAGAGAAACATCCCAAAAGTCTGAACACATGCTACTTGAGGAGGGGAACCAGCACCTCCAAATAGATGTTTGATCTGAAGCACCCCCACTAGGCTGGCATTAGGCCTTTCAGCCAGCCCAGCCCAGCTGGGGGTGTCCTGAACAGCCTCTGTTCAGAGAAATGGCTAGTGTCCTTTCGGACTGATGAGCTAAAGACAACTCTGAACTCAGCCAGCATACAAGTAGCTATGCCACCTTCAGAGGTCGGACCAAGTCAAGACAGGCAAGTTGCAAGTCAAGTCCCAAGTCTGAAATTTCAAATTTCAAAATAAACAACGCTGCATGTGCATCTCCCCAGTCTTTCAGCATTTTCTTCCTCTGGCTGGCGCGACTATGGCCAATGATTCATGTCTCGCACTCGACCAGCACATGCTGGACATCTGTGAATAAACTTTAATGCTTCACGTTCTAAACAAGTAAACAGTACCGAGTTTATTTTCAGATGTCGTATAAAAAGGCTGTTTGCTCGATTGTTGTACCGTGCCAAAAGTTCTGTCGGCTGGAAGCAATAATAATTAACTCGCTTCCTGAGCTAAACACACAATCCTGAGCTCGTTACTCTTGGACGTGCTTGGTAAGAGGATTTAAAATATGACAAAAACCGCATAGATATAAAGCCAAACTGCCGTAAACATGTGTGTGTGTGTGTAACCAGTTTGCCCCACTTGCTGACAACGGAAACTGTGCTGATCCTGCTGCTGTTTGTTTGTATTCTCTTCTATTAAATACATCTCTTGCTGTAAAAACTCCCTGTTGGGTTTGTTCATTTTCATCTCTCTAGTCTGTTTAGATACACAAAAATGATCACATTTATCTATCGCAGTTTTATTTTGGAAATGTTCTTTTATTTTCTGCTTTGGCTTGACTTCCTTCCAGAATTGACAGCTCACGAAAAAATTTGAGCTGATCGAAACGATCGCTGCATGGCGCGAGCCTATGAGGCGCTTCGTAGCCGATGTGACCGAGCGTAGGTTAACAAGGGTGGCGATTAGAAACACACTCCGTTCAACGGCGCCTCGTCGTGCTTACCGCGTCTGGCGTGTTTGTGCATTAGGCTAACTTTTTCCTTCTAAATCTGAATTTTTGGGCTTTATTGCAGCTCTCACACACAAGCCTACAGAGACGTGTCGGTTATGTGATGCCTGAAAAGACTTTGAACAACTTTGAAATAATAAATGTTTAAAGCTCAATATCGGTTAGTATAAGGTCTGTTCAAGTAAACAGGTTCAAGTCCAAGCCAAGTCCCGAGTCTCTGCTGAAAAAGTCCAATTTTTCAAGCTTAAAGTCCTAAACTTAATGACTCAAGTCTGACTTGAGTCTAAGTCATGTAACTCAAGTCCCCACCACTAGCCATTTTAAATCAGCACACGCTTCAACCATAAATGCTGTCGAGTTTTAAGATGGCAGGAAATTATGATGTTGGAAGTGCTAGGACTAGCCGTTAGCTCGTCTAATTAAGATGTAAACACCATTTCTCCAAATGGAGGCTGTTCAGAATGCTGTTTGAGGACAGGTTCAGTTGGATGAGTCATTCTTTTAGCTAGTCAGACCCCCGTTGCAGCCAATAAACACACATTTACACACATTCTCCCACCTCAACACCGACTGCACACAGCAGGGCCGTCTTAGCCGGACACAACATGCAGTGGTGAAAGCTGGGATGAAACACAGAACTAAAGTTACCACCGTCCATTTACCATTAACAGATAAAAGTTAAACATTCCTGCAAGACCCTGAAACCACATTTTAGTTTTTGCTATAAAAAATAACTGCATAAAAATCCATGAAACTAGTTTTCAATCAACTTTTTTAGTCTGGAGATGGAGTCATTTAAAGGTGGCAGAAATGAACTCTAGCCTTAGTTCATCAGTTAGACTAACTCTCCAAACGGAGGCTGTTCAAGAAGGCATCTACACAGAATTGGTCCCCTTTACATTTCTAAATCTACATTTTAACAAACAGAACACACACAGACAGAAAATGCTTTTTTTATTTCAATTTATTTATCTTTAAAGAACCAATACGAATTGGGGAGGTTTTCAAAATGGGAACAATGATAAAAAACTGACCAGTTTAATTCTTCTTCACCCTGTGTGTGTGTGTGTGTGTGTGAGTGTGTGTGTGTGTGTGTGAGTGAGAGGTTCAGCAGGGTCTGATGAGCAGATCTGAGGTGGACTGATTATTGCACTCTGACAAGATTAAAATGGCTCTGAAACAATAAAAAAAACTATTGGATAACAAAGTGTCCTTGCCCCTGCCCAACTCCTACCTGCCACACGTTTCCTGTGAATAAATATCGACATTCACACTCAGTGAACCCCTAAACTCAAAGTGACTTTAAGCAAGCGAGGAGTATAAGGAAAACATTACTGCATTTTCAGGTGAATCTTCGGAGTTCTGTGCAAAAAATAAAATTAAAAAAAAGACACAATGTGTGTTTAAAGTTTTTAAATGTTTAAAAAAAATGGCCGATTGCTTGAGTTATTAGTGGAAATAAAAACATGCTTCTTATGTTCTTGTCACATCTGTGTAAAAATAAAAATTCACATAATGGAAGGTTTTATCCCATGATTACAACTGAAATGAAGAACAGAGAGAAGAAGAAAAAATAGAAACAGGATGGACTCAAGTGGAAAAACTCTGGCCCGTGGTTGGACAGTAGAACCGGGCCCGTCTGTGTGCTTTGACCTTCCATTCGTTGTTTCGGCTGGTGGTTCCCCAGATCTAGTTTCGCATGTTTGATCATCAGATCGCTCTCTGACCAATTAACCATGACTCAGTGTTACAAATCATCACAATAATTACTGATAGCACGCTTTTATGTTGTTTTTCATGACCTCCTGTCGGAAGTTTCCAGACTAGATGCGCATTACAAACAGATGCACTGATGGCGGCCTACTGCACACAGCAGTTGTGGCCGTTGGTATCTTTGAACCGCAGACGCATTTTGGGCCTGTATTTCTCGAGGTACAGAAGCTGTTTGGAGTTGAAGGCTCCACGTCTCTTCCTGCAAACAGACAGAAGGAGGTTTTAGTGATCCCACATGGACGAGAGCCCTTTAATCAGCTTTAGACCGGTTCCTCTCAAGTTTGATTTTTAAAGGAACAGCTCACATCTTTAAAAGTATGGGTCTGTGGAAAGATTACAGCCTCATCCACACTAGGGCAGGCTCCACTCACTGCAGTCAGCCCCAGCCTGGCCGGGTTGATCACACACATCCTTGTGAATGCGAATGTGACTGAGCAAAAAGGCGGCCTCCATATGGCACGAAAAATTAGCATGAAGATGGCAGTGATGTCATGAGCGCATCTCCAAGCACATGCAGGGTAAAAGACACGGAGAAGTCTGTGGTGTGTCCCTTAAATTAAACAAAGGTAGTGAGCAGTGTTGCTTTTGGAGACTGGTACTGCTCTGCTGCGTCTGTCCTGGTGCAGCTCAAGCCTAGCAGTGCTCCGTGTGTGTGTGTGTGTGTGTGTGTGTGTGTGTGTGTGTGTGTGTGTGTGTGTGTGTGTGTGTGTGTGTGTGTGTGTGTGTGTGTGTGTGTGTGTGTGTGTGTGTGTGTGTGTGTGTGTGTGTGTGTGTCTCAGAGAGACAGATATTAAGAGACAGCTACAGTCAGAGGCATTGATTATCTAGGCAGTGTGGAGCCAGTTAGCACCTTGTAGGGAAACAGACTCTCTCTGATTGATGAGCCAACTACTAGTCACAATGGGACCAGTTGCAGTTATAAATCTAAAAAACTTCATGACTGATCTTCTAGAACCCTTACACTGCCATAAAACGTTCCTCATCCTTCCAAAAAAGTAATGAAGATTGGTGCTGCTGTAGCTAGCTCTGTGGCTTATCTCCACAACATGTTCTAGCTCAAGCTTCTCAACCACAATAACTGATTTTACATTTGAGATTAATTTAAAGATGGCAGAAACACTAGCCATTAGCTCATCAGTCTAGTCAGGAGGCCATTCACAGAGCTCACTTCCAAAGATCTGAACCCTGCCGCAAAATTCAAATGTTCCTCCCATAACTCATAGGCCTTCTTCAAATTACTAAAGATCACTTTACTCTGAAAACAATTCCCAACAAGCATCTGGAACACCTCTGTTTGGTTAGCATATGTTAGAAATCATCAATTTCCCTCTGGGATTAATGAAGTATTTTTGAATTTAAATTGAATTGAAAGGAGGAACACCACAATAAATGTCACAGTGAGACGAACGTGACGAGAAAAGTGGATGACAGCTACATGACTCGTGCCTCTAACATGAAAACAGTGAGTTTCTGTAGTTTGGAGTCTGATTCTTTCAGCTGCAGCCACATTCTGGCTTCAGTGTGAAAACAAACAAGAGTAAAAACTTACAGTCTCTGTGTTTAAAGTCACATCCAGTTCAGCTCTACAGTACACATAATAGCAGATCTGTGCACCTGTGTCTTCAGTCTCATTTAGCTGGTGTCCTGTTCCCTCTTCCTCACCAGCTTCTCTTCATGCTGCTGCTGCTTCTACCAGATCTGACTGACCTCACCTTTTCTTATTCAACTATGACTTCCTTCACATTTTTTAAGCAAAAATTTTCTAAATTCCCAAATTGTCTCATTTTATTTGTTGTTCTGGTGATGCTCCTCGCTATGTAAAATCGTTTCTTCTTCAGTGAGGTGCTCCTAAAGACCTAAGGAGAGAACTTACTGCCTTATGAACTGCACGGCGTCCTCGTACTTCATTCCTCCCTCGATGAGGGCTAAGGCCACCAGAACTGGAGCTCTGAGAGGGTGAAGGATCCAACGAGCCGGTTCCAGTAGACCGAGGGAGAGAGGGAGAAATGTAGATTAGATACCAACGTTCATGAGACTCCATAGTAATACGGTGTGTTTGGGGGGAGGGGGGTGGTTAAACCTGGGAAAAAGGCCTGGGAACTCAACAGGGATCCACAAGCTCACAGGTGTCCTGCTGACACACACACACACACACACACACACACACACACACACACACACACACACACACACACACACACACACACACACACACACACACACACACACACACACACACACACACACACACACACACACGCACACACACACAGCTGTGGTGAGCTACAGTAAAGCTTCTCGTTTCTCACCAGAGGGACGATAGTGAGAACAAGTAAACAGAGAAGCTTCCAGAACCACGGGCTCCTTCTGAGCTCCAACGTTTTATTAAGCTGCTCTTTTAAGTCAAAAGGTAAAGTGCAGCTACTGTTTGCTACCTTTAGTCACACAGATCAGATGGGTTCAGAGATCACCTGCTTAACCAATACCAGGAATTATCCAGCCTCTGGAATGTCGCAGCAACGCGGAAAGCTGGAAGCTGCAGAGCAGCGATGGGCTCCCTGAGCACTTGTGGTCAGGACAGACATTTTCACACTGCTTCACCCACATCACGTGCTTCTGCTTGTATTGTTTACACATTGGTGCAATAGAACATAACTTCTCCTCACTCTGCTCTGGGAGCTCAGTTGTCACCTTTATTCTGGTGAGAGAAGTTCCAACATGGATCCACTGATAGTCAAACTGATTAGATAAAGTATTTCAAAAGAAGCAGGAAGAGAACCCAGCGTGTGATAACCTCAGCGTGGGAGATGCCGGGTAATCACTTGTGGTGAGGCTGGCCAGACGACAGGAAGATAGGACGACACTCTGAAGCTTCCTGTGAGCCGGAGTGAACTCACTGACCACATCCAGCTGGAGTCAGCCATACGAACACACACAAACCTGACCTGCGTCTGTCCAACAGAAGCTCCGCATGAAGCAGACACACGAGGATCGACGAAAGGGGCCGAGGTGGATTCTCCTGCACGATGCTGAGATGACCAGATGTGGACTCAAACCGGTATGAAATAAAACATCTTCGCTACTAGGATCTGCCATGGACAGTTACCCTGTCCCGGGTGTACCCCGCCACCCCCCCCCCCCCCCCCCCCCCCCCACGACCGACGGACAAGCGGGTTCAGATAATGGATGGATGCTACTAGGGGTGACACGATCTTGGGTCATCATTTAATCACTGCGTTTTCTAAATAACTCAAAATATTGTGTTGATCAAACTTAAAGCAGCTCTTCAATACCAAAGTGTCTGAATGTGGTTTCATGTTAGAACCAACCCACTGTTACCCCTGGAACCATTAAGGCCCGTTCCTCCTGCATGCTGTTGGAGACAGTGGGGACAGATGAGGACTACTGGATGATGTCGTCACAACGTACCGGCCCAGGCCCGCCACACAGTGCACGGCGATGCAGCAGCCGGGGTGCTCTCGAAACTTGGTGTTCAGCAGCTTCAGCCAGTCGTCCACGATCTGCGTGGGAGGGGGGGCGCCATCATCGAAAGGCCAGTCCTGGAGGAGGGAACGTTAAAAATCAGTTTGGTGCAAAGGTAGAAAGCCGTCCCCATGCACCCGAGCAGCTCTCACCAGGACTTGGATCCCCTCCTTCTCTACAGGAGCCTTGTCGTAGGTGGCTTCACAAACTCGGACCAGAGTGTTCACCTCAAACTTCTTCAGCTCCTGGCAGGAGGACCAAAGCCTCTTAGCCAACACAGCAGTAGGTGAATATGCAGGAAGACGCGCAGGTACATACCTCGGTGAACTTGTTGAGTGTGGCGTTGGTGGGGTTGTGGGTGATAAGGAACCTCATGCACTCGTGGGCAATCTCGACTGCAGCGGGGCGGTTCATGTTGGCAAGACGGCTTTAAGAAAACAATTACAATACAATACTCTTACAAAACAAACAGCAACTGTTGGCTCAGAAGACTGCTAGGAGAGGGGTAGAATAAATAAAAGGGACAACAGGATGGGTCAGAAGGACACGTCTTCACGATGGGATGATGCACACAGACAGGAGCAACAAAAACAAACTTGTCCACAGCACACTGGGATGTGGGGAAAAGAAGTAAAAAAAAAATAAAAAATAAAAATAAAGATGACACTATCCAGGAGTCATCCAATGAGTTTACCCCATTCAGGAGAGCTGTGTGTGATTGGTTGTTCAAGGAGAAAGCAGAAAGCAAATATGTTTTGGTATTGGTCGGGACAGGACCGGGCTGTCGGGCCAAAGACTACGCTGTATCCTAGAGGGAAAGTCAGCCACAGTCAGGGGGGTTTCTGGGTAGCGTAGTCTCTCAGGGGGCGGCCGATTCACTTCTCCACGGAGGTGAGGTGCTGTGCCTGGCAGAATTCTCTGGTCACACCCGCCATATAGGTACGGCTGAAGTCCACACAGAAATCCTGTGGAGGAGCAGAGGGAGACTTAAAGCCAGTAATGAAGAATGAACACGGTAAAACTTCTGGTTCAGATGAAGCACAGCTGCCTGAGCTCCATGCTGACCAAACAAGAGTTTCTCATTTTCTCAGTGATACTTTGAAAGATTCCAAGAGTTTTTGCGTAAATACTCCTTCAGAGTTTAACTTGTACTGAGAAAGTGCTGAAGGAGCAGTGTGAATGGTCTCCAATGACGACCAGGTGTAAAACCGATGCAGTCACACTGAACAGAAGGTCTAGCTCAGCCTGAAAGAACCCGACAGAACCACGTTCAGAGAGAATCTGGTACAAACACGCTTACACTAGTCATCCAGCCCCATTAGATGGCAAACTTGTTTACCAAAACAAAATAAAACCTCATTAGAAAAGCTCAAATGAGAACCGTCTCAAACCCTCACATGGCTTATTTAAAACAAAAATGTCTGAAATATGGATTTATGTCACTTATTAACTGAACTCTGGTCTGTATCAGCATTTGAAATCAGTAACAGTGTTTACTTTTCAGCCTTCCTTAATGCGACTGTAAAATTCCTACACCTTTGGATTACAACGCTGTAAATCACCAGCTCTCACCCAACTGGAAACTAATAATATGCACAGCAGGAAGTGTGTGAAGGCTCCGTGAGACAGTATAAACCCGGCCGCCACAAACCGGCTGGAACCGTCTCAGAGCGCCCAAAGAGGGAGGTGCGTGAGGGGCGAGGTGGAGGAAACATGGATGACGAGGGCAGGCCATCACCTCACGGGCTACATGCACACTAGTAGTGGGTGGTGAAAGGCTCGGACTTTAGCACCGTGTCACAGGCAGCAGTCACAAGGTGAGGATTAAAGGGTGGGCAATGATTCAATAAGCTCCAGCATTTCAGTCCCACGCTCCCTTTTTACCTCCCAGAGCAGACTTTCAACTCTCTGACACACACACACACACACACACACACACACACACACACACACACACACACACACACACACACACACACACACACACACACACACACACACACACACACACACACACACACACACACACACACACACACACACACACACACACACACACACACACGAAAACTATCAGAGGTGGTTCCATGCTCAAGAGCACGTCGGCTTCCTGCAGAGATGGGGTCCACCCCGTTCCCATGATCCTGTAGCTGGAGGAGGGAGGCTCTACCGGGCTGAATCAGGCTACAGCTATCCTAATGATTAAAAAACCCAAAAGAGCCGTACCGCGCTTCTATGGTCTACACATCTAGACCGACTGAAGCAGCAGTAAAACGTTTTGCTCTGCAGGTCAGTCTAGCTACGCTCCACTGCAGCCTCAGCAGGTCTACCAATGGCACCGTTTCATTTAGCCCGGACCAATCACAGCGCTCTGCCTGTTTTGGTGGCAGACTGAGACATCCCAGATTGAAAGCAGAACGCTACCGCAGGTCATTCATCCTCTCTGCAGTTAGAGTGTAGAACTCCTCAGTTAAACTGGTACTGGCATTATCCTAGTACACAATAACACCAATGCAATACTCAGTATGTGTTTAATACTTGTGCAATACCTGATGTACATTAGCATGTCTGAGTCCTTTATGCTGCATTGTTGTGGAAGCACAAGTTTCCTCTAGTAGGGCTGGGCAATAAATTGAAAATTTATCGTTATCGAAATTTCTGACTCTTATGATAATTTTTCCCACGTCAATAAATCTGATAATCAAAAATGAAAAAACGTGAGTAGGTTGGCAGCGTTCATTTCCCTTTAAGAAGCTGTACTACCTTGAATCACATAAAGGCGTGACTCAACGCGATACACGTGGCAGCCCCATCTAGTGGACAACTTTTGTTTCTGCGCATTAGGGCTGCAACAAACGATTATTTGGATAATCGATTAATCGGACGGGGTCTCGACACGATTAATCGATTAATCGGATTACATGGGGAAATTTTTAAAAACTGCTAGGGAAAAGTTATTTCTCTCCTTCCTTCACTTTATTTAACACAACATTATTAGAAAACAGTTCAATAGCAGAAAAACAACATGCCATCACCTAAATTGTCTTATAAGGTGTATAGACAGAGACCCTAAGCTACATCTATCTGTGACCTAAAATGCTTGGTCCAAGTTAAACAGCTTAAGGGCAATTCTCATCTGTTTTGTTTGATCTCATCTGTTGACATTTATTTTAAATGTAATTAAACATAGGCTGTGAATTAATCAAAATTGATGACCATTTCCAAAAATGACTGAAAAAATACCAAATAAAACAAAAGTAAATGAATGCCATCATCCTTGCGATGATGCCCTGGGCAACTGCCATAAAGTCACATCAAGAAATGCTGCTGATCATTCCAATGATCCCAAATAGACTATCATTAGGCCACATGAAAGCAACTGAACCCAAAAATATATTAACCAGTATATAACTGCACTCTCACACAACACGCCTGCAGCAACAGTTAGGACTCCTCCCTCCCTTTTAAAAGCGTTTTTGCTTCCGAGGACATTGTGGTTGTAAAACCACATGCTAGTAGTCTGGCCCCGGTGTGATCAACCAGTTTCTGCGGGAATGTGACGGCGGAACCAGGGCCAGATTAACACTTTGTTGTACCCTGGGCAACAATATTCAAGGGCTCCATCATCACGACCCAAGGATCACCATAATGTGGTCACATACAGAATATTTTACTGTAATATGCAGTAAATATACTCAATACTTGAATGCCTGACAACACGTAACCCGCCCAGAGTAACCTTTGACCCACCTCGTGTGGACTGACCAATGAGGAGAGGGTCTTAACTTGAGGCCCTCTCTTCATTGGTCAGTCTGCATGAGACTGACTCTCAACTGACGTTCAAAGTCATTGGCAGCGAAACGTCTCTGTGCAGCACGAAAGCCCGGGTGGACAGTTTGTTTAATATAGGGTGATCATTTTTTCCATTTCCAAACAAGAGGACAGGGAATCTGTGCCTATGACGTCACACTATGGCAACGCCACACAAACCATGTTGGGACCCATTTTTTGTAAGAACTAAAATAATATCAGATTCTGCCAATAAAAGGGCTCTAAAACAATTCATATGTTAATATTTTGCATATTAATGCAAAATCTCATTTTTATGCTTTAGTGCTGCAACAAGGTTTTATTAATAAGAAACTACCTTTTGTTTTACTACAGCATCGGTAAGCTTCCTGTGCACAGATTATTAAGGATGCTTGTTTCAGCTGTGAGATTAGACGATAGGATCAATGAAAAAATAAGTTGTCACACACTCCATGGAAACTTTCAGAGAATCCACAAATAGTGGCTTTCAAATGGTTTTGTTACTTTTTGCAAGTTTAGAAAAGAAGCAGATGAGACAGCATGTCTGATAATTTAGTTTTTCATCTGATAATATTAGAACATGTCAGTAATGTTTGAGGGGCTTTTATAAACACCGTATAACTAACACTACTGGAGAGGGTATGAATTACACAGAGGCTTCTGGGGAGCCCAGTTATGGAGGGGGGTGGGGGGGTGGGGGGGGGGGGGGGGGGGGGGGGCATTTTGCCTTGGCCCCCAAAATGTCTTGAAACGGCCCTGGGTGTGTGACTAAGTTTTGAAGGTGATCTGAATTGTATCAGATGTATAAATATGACGTGTATAACTTATTGTTTTTTACTGGTAAAAACGTGTAGTGGAGATAAATCTACCTACATTTTACTTTGTTTTCTTGTTTTTATTTAACTATTTTCCTGTCCTGTTTGTCTCTCATCTTCCTGCATCTCCTCATAATTCTCCAGAAAATCTGTTGCCTGGATTCTTACCTTTTCACCTCATCAGTTACTTTTGAGCAGATCAAAGAGATCTCCTGACCGCAAAGCGCAGAGCACGTTTTCGATGCTGCGTGAGGTGACATCACCACAGCACAGGTGATGAGCTCCGCAGTAGCGCGCTTCAGGCACAAATAAGACAGAAAATAGAGAACATGTGCAGACAAGAACGATCGTGTGCTAATTATAGTTTTTTGGTTGCGCCACTCTGAGAATGGACCGTGCGCTGGAAGCAGCTGCCTGGATCGCTGTGCAACAATGCGGAACCGGTTCGCAGCAGCGCAAGTCTGCAGGCTCTCCCTCGCGCTGATCTGCCGGTACCGGCTCTCTCTCGCGCTGATCTGCGGCTCTCCCTCGCGCTGATCTGCCGGCTCTCCCTCGCGCTGATCTACGGCTCTCCCTCGCGCTGATCTGCCGGTACCGGCTCTCCCTTGCGCTGATCTGCCGGTACCGGCTCTCCCTTGCGCTGATCTGCCGGTACCGGCTCTCTCTCGCGCTGATCTGCGGCTCTCCCTCGCGCTGATCTGCCGGCTCTCCCTCGCGCTGATCTGCCGGCTCTCCCTCGCGCTGATCTGCGGCTCTCCCTCGCGCTGATCTGCGGCTCTCCCTCGCGCTGATCTGCCGGTACCGGCTCTCCCTTGCGCTGATCTGCCGGTACCGGCTCTCCCTTACGTAGATCTGCCGGTACCGGCTCTCCCTCGCGCTGATCTGCGGCTCTCCCTCGCGCTGATCTGACTTGCTCTGGTCTGTGCTCAACGGCGGGCGGGAAGGTGGGGGCGCTTTTGGAAGAGTTGTGCGACACAACGAATCGATGACGCAATTCGTTGCCAACGCTTTTAGTAATCGATTTTCATCGAATTTATCGATTCGTTGTTGCAGCCCTACTGCGCATACCTGTAGTTATCGTCCATCTATCGTTATCGAGGTGAAATTCTCAATGTTTCATGATATTGATTTTAGGCCACATCGCTCAAGTCCTACTCTTTAGTCATCGTTTTTAGTGGTTGAAGGTCACACAATAATGGCGTATTGCCTTTGAGTGATATTTCTCATCTTCCTTTTCGCTAAGTGTTTGTGCTGCTGTGTGTGTAGTGATGAATACATCACCTTCATTGCTCTGATTGGTCCCAGCGCTGTCCAACTGTGTTGGGCTGAGACAACTGTAT